GATATCAAATGGAAAGAATATCCAACCAACGCCCTTTAAGCTCAGCTGTCTAAATTATGAACTTGTACATAATACGTCATTATTGTTTGTTATTTGCAAATTTACTTATTACTTATAACGAAGTTGAATGGTTGTTAGTAAAGCGATCAGTAGTCATATCTTTACGCCTAAAATGGCAAACCTCTGTGTAAAATCAGTTAAATATGACAAATGTTGATGTAGCCACTATCTATTTTAATTCTGGTTCCATACAATTTGACTTTTCATACTCGAAATTGATGTGTTAGATCTGGCAATAAATTTAGAAGTTTATCATTATAACAACCCTATTCCCGTCATCGATCAAACACATTCACAGCTCATTCATAAATATAGATTGTGGTATTCTATCACAAACGATTTTCATTGCCACGCCTTCGGTTAGAGAATAGTGACCATGAAGGCAGCTGTTTGCGACATGAATGATTTAACGTTTTGCAGAAGTTAATACCAGATAATAAATAATTTTAGGTCGGCAAAACTAATGAAGCATAGACAGATTCTTGAATTGATATTTCTCACAGCGCAACGCTAATATTTGGTGGATGGTGAGCATCAAACCGTGAGGAACTTCTAATAAGGACTTACCAACAGGACAGGAATAATTAATTTTTGATTAAACTAAGTTTCATTTTTGTGGTTTTCATTTAATTAGTTACATTCACATCTTGAATTATTAACATTTTGCATTTAGAGGGAACATGTTAACTTAGTTTGCGCCATTGGCAGCCACATTTTTCAAATCAATTTCTCTAAAAAGCTTTTCGTTCGAATGAAAACTAATGTATACCGCCTTATAGGAGATTGAGCCACTGAATAAATCATTTCATATCGTCTCACCGAATAAATATATATATAACTTGAAAAATAACTTCATCTGACAGATTTAAAGATTAATGTGACGATTACTAGAAATCGATGCATTTATCGACGTCCACCAGAGATATTTGAAAAGTGCCAACTCCAATCATAAACTAAGAATTTAGAACTGTATCATACTGAAATAAATAGGAAGTTAAATCAAACGTCACACTGCATGTGTATAATACTGACAACATTTCGGGCTTAATGCGACTGGAGGGTGAAGAAATTGCAATATTGAGAGCAACTACAGAAGAACATGCTAATTTAATTACTTTACTGACCAATAATTAATTTTAGCTCCGCTTGTGATATTAGACACAGCCAAATTGTACAGATCAAAAAATAAATCACCCGAATCTAATTACCGATAACAGTGGGTAATGTCTTTCGGTCGCGATTTTTTTCGTCTACTCTCTGGTGTTCTAGTTTTGCGTATAATTCAGAAAGCGAATATTTCGGAAAATGTCTAGTCGGCCTCGGAGCAAACAAACATATATCAAATTTCAGATTCAAATACATGTGCTTGCAAAACCCACAAAGTCGAAGTGTCTTTGATCAAATAATGACAAACTCTTATTAAAAACAACGGATCTTACATTCGCTTACTATTATTAAATAGCTATCGAAACGTTAAGGTAATTTTTCAAATTAATTTCTCTACTAATTGGAATTTTCTCTTACAGCTTGAGCCTAAGTGTGTCGCAGGAT